TGTGGATGGAAGGGAAGAAGAAAAGTTCCTACCAAAGTCAGGGGTGGATGTAGGAGAGGCAGCTGAGCAGGCAAAAGGACTGGTTTCTGCTGCCACACAGCAACGTTGTGACAGAGCATAGCACAGGCTGTGGAACCAGCTTGCTAGAGCCAATTGTGAAATTTTTTCAAGCTGGTTGTTAAACACTATTATTCATAAAAATTAACTAATATAAAGTTACAGTTAAATGAATTACATTAAACACAAAGGAGATAAAAACTCAATGCTACCTAATTATTTTACTACCTATTCCCATTATCTGTGCTCTCGAGGTTATGTATGTCTGTGGTGGAAATCTTATATCATACTGTGCTGCCACACACCTCTTCTCAACTCTGTATTCAGTGATGCTACATTGGTAGGTTGAAATCAGTCATGATGGAATTATTTTACACCATGGGAATCAGCAGATAGTACAAATCATATCTTCTTCTGCTTCCAGAAAGCCAGGGTTGGATCCTGACCCTGCCACTTACTACCCAGGTGGTCTTGACAAAATTATTGTATCTCTCAGGGTATCAGTATTCTCATTTCATAAGGTTTTATGAGGTTAAATGAATGGATATAATGCCTGGCACACAGTGTGAGTTACAATGATGAGGATGATGATTGGATGAGAGGTGTTCACAGGGGTTTGCTGAATCTGGCTCATACTAGAATGTGAGTGCTTATTTGGAGCATCTCTTCCGAACACTTTGCTCAATGATGTCACATTGGCAGCTTGAAATTAGCCCTGGTGGGAGTATTTACACCACAGAAATTGGCAATCATTATAAATCAGGGCTCCCACATCCTCCCACTGGAGAGCCAGTTGTTAAACATTTACCAGCACAGCACGGGATGTATGGACTGCTCCAGGTGTATAATAGGTATTCAGCAACAAGGCAGATCATGGTGGCTAAAATGTCTGGAAAATCCTCAAAAACAGATCCAAGACAGATATGTCCCAAGGACAGAAACCATCCTTGTGCCCAGGAAGTGGTACTTATATGATCCTTACCAGCTGTCTGGCAGCAATGCCCATCTGACCAGAGTACCTGATCTTTTTTCTCAGAGTCTGCCAGGCAGCATCAATAAAGCAGGAGACTTCCTCGAAGCCAGTTACCTGAATCTGAAGAGACCATATGCTGTGGCCATTGCTGGCTATGCCCTGGCCCACTTAGGCAAGCTGGAGGGTTCCCACCTCATCAAGTTTTTGAGCACAGCCAAAGGTGAGGGGCAACCTGGAAGGGTGAAGGGGGATACATGACTGGGGTTTAAGGGAGATGATTATGAGCT